TATCGTGTAGGTCTCTATATAAGGTTTTGGTTGAGAGACCATTAATTTTTTTCACCACACACAGCAGCAGGGAGGATGACGACCAACAGGTGTTTTACACCAGGGACTTTAAACGAGGACGCATACAAATTTGAAAATACGACGTCAAAAAAAAAATTTAAAAAAAAATGCAAAAAAATGCGCTAACCGTGTATAGGCCTCGGTTTAGTGCAACCCGTGTAGAGGTCTTGGTTTAATGTTATTGACGCCTATCTGTTCATTTTCGTATGAATCTTTATTTTCACAAATAAATCTTCCTGAAATGGTTTGGTCACCCTTCCTGCTGGTTAGCTTTATTGACGCATATCTGTTCATTTTCGTAGGAAGCTTTTTTTCACAAGTAAACCCTACTAAAAATGGTCAGTTCACCAACCATGCTGTTTTATCTTATATGCAGCTCAGAAAATGATGTAGCCGAAAGCATGTAACTTGTTTCACAAAACATACTGAAAACTAATTAGGTATTTTAGGTACATTTAATGACGCTGACCTGAAGATTTGCCAACTTACAGATAGGTAAAAATTCGCCATGCTGTGTGAAGTTTCTAGCACAATACAGGACAGCCCAACTTGTGTGCGTGTATGTGTCTCTCTCCCAAAATATCGTATACTGCATGCTATCAAAGTTTAAGAGACCCTCTCTCTCTCTCTCTCTCTCTCTCTCTCTCTCTCTCTCTCTCTCTCTCTCTCTCTCTCTCTCTCTCTCTCTCTCTCTCTCTCTCTCTCTCTCTCTCTCTCTATATATATATATATATATATATATATATATATATATATATATATATATATATATGTCTCTGTGTGTGTTGTTGTTGTTGTTGCATTTGTTGTTTTCTGATTTTATAATCCGGACTGAGATAAACATACTTAAATAAGAAAAGCAAGGTTCGCAAAAGAGCTAGATTTCTCTGTCGCTTGAATAGGAATAAACTTCTCTCCCTGCTTTACAGGAAGATAACGTTGAGATTAATTGACATCTCTTTATTTTACATGAAATCAATGTTCAGATTAAAAAAGTGTCTCCCTATTGTAGATAAAGACGATGATAGAAATGTGTCTTTCTATTGTAGATAGAGACGATGATAGACATGTCTCCATATTATAGATAAAGACAATGATAGAAATATCTCTCTATTGTAGATAAAGACTATGATAAAAATGTGTCTCTCTATTGTATATAAAGACGATGATATAAATGTGTCTCCCTATTGTAGATAAGGACGATGATATAAATGTGTATCCCTATTGTAGATAAAGACGATGATAAAAATGTGTCTCCCTATTGTCGATAAAGACGATGACAGAAATGTGTCTCCCTATTGTAGATAAAGACGATGATAAAATATGTCTCCCTATTGTAGATAAGGACGATGATAGAAATGCGTCTCCCTATTGTAGATAAAGACGATAATATAAATGTGTCTCCCTATTGTAGATAAAGACGATGATATAAATGTGTCTCCCTTTTGTAGATAAGGACGATGATAGAAATGTGTCTCCCTATTGTAGATAAAGACGATGATAGAAATGTGTCTCCCTATTGTAGATAAAGACGATGATAGTATTAATTAACGTCTCTACCTGTATTACATCAGAATATATAACGTTTCAAATGTTAAGTTTTTTCATTCTGAAACAGTGATTGCAAAAATATACTTGGAATCAAAAGCAAAATAAATCATTTGTGCCTGTGCCATTTTACAAAATAGTACACACACACACACACACACACACTGTTCATAACGATTCAATTGTTTTTTATTTGTTTTGATTTGTTTTTAAATCTTCATAAAAATAGAGATGTAGCAGTTAGTTTGCATTTTAATTAATATTTTCCTTTAGTTGAATCTATTCAATTAGAAAAAACTTCCTTATGTATAGATATTTACGGAATCCGAGTAAATTTTTTCCTAGCTTGCTTTATGACAGAGAATACTGAAACAAAAAATCAACAGTTGATATTAATAGACGCTGAAAGAAAACTTACAGACACAGAAATAAAAAAACTTCTTTTCTCTTAAAGGTGTTTTAAGATAATACATAGTGAGTTAAATTGTTTTGAAGTATAAAATAGTGCACATAAACGAATTAAAGCTGTCAGATATCCTTCATTATGGTTGCCAATGATATCTGGAAGCACTTCCTTCATAAGGTATCGTACATGAGGCCTTTGTAACCTTTGATTCAGAGATTCTAAAAGTAAGGAATATTTTCCTTTTCTTTTTTGATTACGATTCGGTTGCACAAATAGTAATTTAAAAACCCCTGTGAGTCTGACCACCTGTTTACCTGTATGCATATATGTTTGTCAGTGCATCCATCTATAATTCTTCCTCTTTTATAATCGGTAGTAATCACACCGAACTTATTAACATATTTTCCCACGTTCTGATTTTTTTTATCAGATAAGATTCCAAAAAAGGGACAAAAGCTGACATGTTCCAAATGATGCATTGTAGAAACGAGTAGCTGTTGGGTAATCAGGTATTATTTTCTTCAAGACCACCTATTTTGCTTTCCAAAAGAGAATATGTCGTGAATGACATAGACGAATAAACTGCCCCTGATTCCTACATAGTTGTGGAAATAATTACAACCCATTGATATAGTTTTACCGTTCCTATATTAAACAATGATCATTGGGGCAAAAATACTCCAAGTCTTAAATAAACTCCAAAATTATTACTTTAAACGTTTTAAGAAAACTATATAAAAACTATTCAATACTATTAGTTCACTTCCTCAAAACATTGATTTCCAGAAATTTTGAATTTCCTAACATCAAAGTTCCATTACAATGATAATAAAGGAAGATTTATGTGTATAAACACAGATGTTTATATATATATATATATATATATATATATATATATATATATATATATATATATATATATATATATATATATATATATATATATATATATATATATATATATATATATATATATTTGGACTAGAATTTTACACAAATTATTTTGTAGCCAGAAATCTAATTATACTGAGAAATTTTGTACTAGTCCTGTCAAATCTTTACTAGTCCTGTCAATAAAACAATGTCACACACTTGTATTGAGATTAACAACAATTCTTTTTTTTCAGAAATAGCATTATCATATTATAGAAGTACAGAAGTATAAATCCAGCTTCAAATCATCAATTAGTCCATTCACCTTTTTTTGTTTCGAAGATAATCTGCATTCAATTCCAGAGAGGAATCCAAATGTCCTTTCTCGTTCTCCACCTGCACTCTGGAAATGGCACTCGCCAACTGAACACCTATGTTTCCTTCGACCTATAACCGATGTTTACTCACCGACAACAGAGCACATATGCATCAAGTTCAGTCCTTTGTTTAATTAGGGTTGCGAAAATACTTGTGGAATCGATCGTTGTTGTGAATGTTTTTTTAATTCCGTGATATGTTTGTGTTCCCATGCTGAATAATAAGCAGACGGGGAGAAAATCTGATAGGCAGCGTTTTCCTGTCATGGAATGCTAGTTTAAGACGATGATATATGTCATGATATTCGATCTTATGGCGAGTTTTCTCCAGTGCTTTTTTACACTGATTGAAACAGCAAATTATAACGACGATATATTTACAATGAAAAAAAAATCATGGACGAATTTTCATGGTATTGATATTCAATTGAGAATTCGCTAACATGGTGTTTTGGATTCATAAATTTAATCATCATTTGTATCCAAGTCTTCTTAAGCTTCGTTGAATATTTCGACGTGGAAATAGATCTGATTTTCAGCCACATTATTGACTAAATTTGGGAAATAATTTCTTCCAACGCTACTTACCAGTGCGCTTCGTCATCCAGTTGCATGGATTTAGGTAATTAGGCCTTGATTTAGCATATTTCTTTTGCTGGGAAACACATTTTTTGAACTGTCAAGAAGTAATGAAGATGATTTATTCATTGTTCGATGGTTCAGGTCCCCGAAGAGTCAATCATCATCATAAAGCGCTGCCTATGTGCTTGGTTGCTGACGTTGGCGAATCTATCGTTGTTGTTGTTACTGTTGGTACATTTTCAGAAAGAACTGTGAGGTAGATAACCAGTAAAATTGCTGCGTAAATTAGTTCAGCGTTGTTTATCAATAATACACCAAAATATTTGGAAGAAAAACACAAATTGATTTTTAGGGACACGTTCTCTATGCCACATTTAAAGTAGTTGCCGTTGTTCTAGTTCTAAAAAAAGGTTAAATTTGATGGAACTGTGTTCGTAACAACTACATCTTTTATAGTAGAATACTTGTGAGGCAGCAACCCATTTTTATATACTATGACACACGAAGGATAATCATAAAGGATAGATTTTGTTTTTGTTTCATTTCGTAATCATTTTAGTAGCATCTATTTTCCAATAGATCTAAGGGTTTGAGTAAAATCTAAAATTAAACCTTAATAATATGTGTGGTTATACTGTGTATATTTATTACTATCCTTTCCATGTTTAAAATAAACATTTAAGTCTTTTTTTAAAAGGTACAAATTCTCCATATACAATCCATGATTTTCTATATGTTCATCCTGCATAATTTCTACAGTAGACTATGTTACTTCAGTTTTGTCGTTTTCATTTACAATCAGAATATTCTTCTTTCTCTCTGTCAGCTTTAGGTATGGAACAAAAATTGTGTCCAAATCAACTAAAACTGAAAACAAAAATTGAAATGAACATTAAAGAAATAATTTGACATATTTGAAAATGAAAATTTAAAATGAAAATACAATATGAAATTTAAAACACAATTGACAATCAAGATCACAGCTAAGAATCATATAGACACGTGTCATTATGTCCCACCCAGGCAGACATGTGGCATGATGTCCCACCTAATCACTTTATCCTGACAACAGGCCGACCTGTCCTAACACTAACCTCTTAATGCTGAGCACCAAGCGTAGCAGTTGTTAGCACCATTGTTTCAAGTCTTTGGTATGACTTATCCGGGGTTCGAACCCACGATCTTCCGCATCCTAGATGGACGCTCTAACCACTAGGCCACCGGAGCGGTCTTGTGTTGTAAGTATAGTTTGTATTTATTCCCATCCCATTTCGTTGGCTTGTAAATGTGAGGATGATGGAAAACATATCTAGGTGTTGGATGGTAAATAACTTTTGTTCAGTTCCCATGCTTTCTGATAACAGAGTGTGGGTCTCAAATGGAGAGAAAAAAATGAAAATTAAAAATGAAAATTGATAAAACCAAACTTGAAAAATGAAAGTTGACAAAGAAAAGTAGAAAATAAAAATTAAAAACCAAAATCGAAAATGAAAATTAAAACTAAAAAATTCAAAACCATAACAAATATGTAAACGAATTTGACAAATGAAAGTTAAATATGGAATAAAAAAATGAAAATTAGCAAATAAAAAATGAAAAAAGAAAATTGTAAATCAAATATAAGAAATGAAAATTAGAGACTGCAATATTGAAAAATTAAAATTAAGAAATGAAATTTTAAAAAAATGGAATAAAATCGAAAATAAAAATTGACTTTACAAAAATCAATAAAAATTGAGAAACAAAACTGATAATGAAAATTGTCAAAAAGTACATTTGAAAACATAAATGAGAAAATAAAATGAAAATTAACAATTGATGATAAAAGTTAAAATAACCCTGAAAACATTGACTTTGGATATAAATTTAAAGTTTGGGCTTTGAAAATTGTCTTAAAAATACAAAATGGTCGCTACTGTAGCAAAGAGACAAATACACCGAATTTCTTAACCATGTCTTCCTTGTTATGTGATAGTATTTATTGTTCACCATATCTGCATGAGAACAATATAAGCGAATTTTTCTGAACTATGTTGTTCGACGTTGTGAAACGAAAATCAAGTAAATGATTACTCAGAAGCTGGAATAGAAGAAGAACTCGTTACGGTAAAGACATAGAAGAAGGTGAAGCAAGAAGAATTAGCTGTATTAAAAGAATGACACATACTTGTGAATATACCAAAATCACGTAAATCTATATTTTTATTCTTTTAGACATACACCTTACGGACAAACAAAAATGGCATGGTGGAATGCAAGTGTGAAATATTGCATATTGTGGATATTGCATGGTGCTGGATATTAAAAGATAATGTTTGTCATTATACCTTTACGTTGGTTAATAAGTGCGGGATAATTGTCATTTTAAAAAACGGACACTTTCAATTATTTTATACATATTTTTAAAAATCTGTAAAAATAAATGCTATATTTTAGCTCATTGAAAAAGTTGTAATTTTCAATATGTTATCACCTTTCTCAGTCCTTGCTAAATTGAATATATTTTTTACTATACACTTTTGTACATTTTACATTTTATTTAAAAAATAATTTGAAAGTATTATTTTCAAATTTTTAGAGTTTGGTGGATAGATATAATCTGTCTCTGCTAAATTTCACACTCGTTTAAAAAAATTAGTATTAGTCTTATTCGAAAACATTGTTAAATTTCTACGGACTGTATTAGTCTCCGTTAAAGACTGCATGAGTTTCAGAATTTAAGTATTAAATTTAGTGCAAGCCAACATCTTTTTATGATGTTCGGTCTCCGTTAAAGTCTGGTATAGTTTCGGAATATTAGGATTAATTGTAGTCACGTTTGTTTCAGTGTTTGGTTCATTGTACAACATATTCAAATTTTCTGACACCTTCAACATGTTGTATAGGAAATATTATTATATACATCTACGATCCATGCATATAACTAAATGACAGCTGGTCGCTTTATACATTGTATTAAGGTATAATGTATGGTGATGGGTTGAAAATGACTGGGTTTTGTTCATTACACAGAGCATGTTGAATGGTATATGTGGGGCATTATTCACAACACCCTGCATGTTCATGGTACAATGTGGGTGTTGGATAGTAGATAATTGTGTATTGGTCACTATACATGGCGTGTTGGATATTATATGTAGAATATTTGCCTGTTTGCATGGTGTTTTGGATAGAATTTGATGTGTGTTGGGCATTAATATTAGACAGTATATAAAAACCATTTGTTGCAGAGAATGCGTAGTGTCTTGAATAGTACTCTAAAAAGTGGTGTTGCATCATTTGTACGGAACGTTGGATAGTAATCAAAGCTGAGGTGTGTCTGATGGTACCGGAAAAGTTTGACATTATCATACCGTTATGTCCAATAAATTATTAACATGAAAACGGACTAAAACTGAAAACATAAGAATTAATATATATATATATATATATATATATATATATATATATATATATATATATATATATATATATATATTCCCACTTGCTCCCACGTGTTTCCAATTTGTTAAGGCATTGGACAGCTTTAATATACAATATAATGTAGTATCCCTAAGTGTCAGCTCATGTAAACGTACTCTGTAATATCAATGCCTTTTGATCCCCCAAGTATCTCTAACATGTTAAGCCTACGGATATTTTTAATATATCATTCCCTGTTGTGCCCGTAACTGGTGCCATGGGTAAACTTAAGGCGAAATGTTAATGCCCCATGCATTGCACGCCCACACCTCGAAACGGCTCATGCGACTACTAGCCTGACATATTTAAATGACCTGTAGTAGCACCATATTTGCCTTCTTGTCGTGTTTGTTGAAGATATTCCCAGTGCAAAGAGATTATGAAAGAAGCGGTTTTGTGCTTAAAGTGATGTGAGAATACCAATATTATACTTATAGGCCATCGCACGTCAAGCAGACAACTTTGTGCTAGAAATATTTAAACTGGTTGGGTAGAAAGGTTTTAACTGCCTTCTTGTCGATGTTGAAGATATTTCCAATATAATGTGACTATTGAAGATGTTTCCTGTGGAGGATGAGTATTGAAGACTTTTCGATGCAAAGTCACTGTGTATAGGTGTTCCCAAAACAAAGTGACTATTCAAGATTTTACCAATGCAAAGTGACTGTTCAAGATGTTCCCAATGCAAGGTGACTGTTCCAAGATTTTCCCAATACAAAGTAACTACTGAAAATGTTCGCAATGCAGTCATTCTCGAGAGATTCCAAATGCAAAGTGACTATTGAAGATGTTACCAATGCAAAGTTCTTATCAGGGATGTTCCCAATGTCAAGTAACTATTAAATTGTTACTATAAGCAATAAATTTAAAACACCAATTGGCAGAAAAGTGATATAGGAAATGAATGACAAATATTGCGAGCTTGCCCAATGAGAGTTTATTAAAATGAGGTTCGCAATATTTAAAATTTTAGTGCAGTAATCGTGGCATATGTGAGGCATTTGCGAGCATAAGAAGTACTAGATTTGTTATCATTCACGTTTGACATGATCTATCGTGATGTCGATGTGTTTATTTTAGGTTAAATTATTGTTCTAAACTTTAATATAAATGTAGGTTAATCAAGGCCTATTCAATCCTGATTATTGAATGATCTGCATATTAACTGCCACCAAGCCGAAAATTTTGTAACATTGGCCTTTCATAGTGAAGACCAGGTACTGAACTGGGTCAAAATTAAAGCACGTAGGGTCAAATTGTCACAATATAGGTAGTACGCTTTTTTCAGCATTGAGCTTTTATTTGACATGACAGCATACGACATTCGATTCGGTTTGTACTGGATCACATATTTAGGCTGACCTCATCATCCAAATTGGAGGTTAGATAATTTTTTAATAGTACTCTACTAAGATTCAAATCCAGGTCAGGCGGATAAACAGCATTCTTCGCCTTGGCTGCACACACCAACCCATATACCATCTCAACCATGCACACATCATCAAAATATTCTAAAAAGTCTGTGGTATAGACGTCAGTGTTTAGCAGGTACACCCACATGTCGACCGCATGATATAATCCAAAATGATTTTTAATGAATTAAGACTAATCCCAAATAGTGAATAAGTACAAAATGTATGGAGCACTTTGTACTTCCAGTGAATAATTTAAACAAGCAAAATCCAATCCTCTCAAATATTAACTGAAACACAAACTAAAACGAATTTAAACATAGGAATTAAGAATTTCGGTTTACTTTTCCTTTATATAAAACTTAAGATAAAATAATAGAACCAGATTTAAATTTATTTACAGAATATTCTAAGTTGTAAACAAGGTCAGGTCTCTTGCTAAAATTAGTAAAGAGCATGTAAAACAACAGGTAAAATTGGAATTGCCAAGGGGTACATCAGTGTCTAAAATGCAGACTCAAGTAAACATGCTTACCCCAGTAATAAACATTTAAATATTTAATCTAAAATTAGCTATGTAATATGTTGTTTACAAAATAAGAATATTTTTGTCAGATAGGCCATAAACTCAATCACAAAACACAGATATACATAACATATTAAGATGGAGAAATTCAACCTACTATACAAATTAGATATTCATTACATAATGACGTGTGTGGGGGGCCCGAGTGGCCGAGTGGTCTAAAGCGCTGTCCGTTAAGGATCACTGCCATCTCACCTCTGTCAGCGTGTGTTCGAGTCTAGGAATTGGCGAATGTAGATATGTGAGAAAGCTTGCCAGTAGCTTCTCGTGGGTCGGTGGTTCTTTCCGGTGATTTCCCGGTTTCTTGCTCCACCATTAATACTGGCCGCCATGAATAGCCTATTGTGTGCTGAAAATGGCGATGAGCCCAACAACAACAACATAATGACGTGACGATAATCATTCAATGTCATACCATTACTCTATCCATTGAATATGGAAGCAACGAAAGGGTTTTCAGTTGTTTAACTTCCTTGTGTATTTGTATGCATGTTTATTGGTCCTTTGTAAATAAACAAGCACACACACTCCATAGCTTCTCTTTTCTGTTTTTTTTTATCAGTAATTCACAAAGACAACATTTATCTTCTAACAAGCGTCGAAGGCTCCTCTAATTCCAATGTTATTTGATAGCTAATTTTATGCGCATCATGCTAGATTGTCGTTAATATTCTTTTGAATTATTTCTTGGTTAATGTCTTGAATAAACAATGTACGTTTGATATAATTATGTTCAATGTTCAAAACAGTTCTTGCGCACA